GGAGAGTTGACCATGAGACTACAGGACCAAAAAGTCACCTTTAATGTCTTCAACTCTCTAAAGTACCCTGATTACTTGGAAGAGTGTTCAAGAATTTCTGAGATAGAGGAGATGTGTTTRGAAGAAGGAATTTTTAAGAACCTTAAGTTGAAAGGAGAACATGATGAGGAATTAGAAGAAGAAAGTCTTGAGGAGATAGAGAAAGTAGAAACAGATGTTGTCCCAGTGGATGCTGCAGCATTTGAGCTGCTGGAAAATAATGAGCAAAAAGACTTCACCCCGTCCATAGAATCACCACCTGAATTAGAGTTAAAACAACTCCCGTCCCATCTGAAGTATGCCTTTCTAGGAGAGGAAGGCAAGTTGCCTGTCATTATCTCATCTACCCTAGAAGAGCATCAAGAAAAGAAACTTGTGGAATGAAACTACATAAGAAAGCCTTAGGATGGACCATTGCTGACTTAAAAGGGATTAGTCCCTCTATCTGTCAGCACAAGATCATCCTAGAAGATAGAAATTTCACTTCCATAGAACCCCAAAGAAGGCTGAACCCTGTCATGAAGGAGGTAGTCAAAAAGGAGATTTTAAAATGGTTAGACGCTGGAATTATTTTCCCGATTGCCAGTAGTTCTTGGGTTAGTCCGGTCCAATGTGTDCCTAAGAAGGGAGGGTTCACTGTCATCACGAATGACAAAAATGAACTTATCCCTACTAGAGTTGTATCCGGTTGGAGAATCTGCATGGACTATAGGAGACTGAACAAGGCTACCCAGAAAGACCATTTTCCACTACCCTTCATTGACCAGATGCTGGATAGGCTAGCTGGAAAGGAGTTCTATTGTTTCTTAGATGGATATTCAGGGTACAATCAGATTGCCATTTCTCCGGAAGACCAAGAGAAAACCACTTTTACTTGTCCCTATGGCACCTTTGCTTTCAGAAGAATGCCATTTGGACTTTGTAATGCTTCTGCCACCTTTCAAAGATGCATGATGTCCATATTTTCTGATATGCTTGAAAAATACATTGAAATATTCATGGATGATATGGTTCATCATTCGACCATTGTTTGAATAATTTGAAAAAGAGCTTGGAGAGATGTGAGGAAACAGACTTGGTCCTTAACTGGGAGAAATGTCATTTCATGGTCAAAGAAGGAATTGTTCTCGGACATTTGATTTCAAAAAGGGGGGTTGAGGTAGATAGGGCAAAGCTTGAAGTAATTGAAAAACTACCCGAACCGACCACGGTTAAGGGAATCAGAAGCTTTTTGGGTCATGCCGGATTTTATAAAAGGTTTATCAAAGATTTTTCAAATATTTCAAAACCTCTTTGTTTACTCCTTCAGCATGACCAAAAATTCAATTTTAATGTTGAATGCATAAATGCATTCAAAACTTTGAAAAAAGCTTTGATTACCGCACCTGTGGTGGTTGCCCCGGATTGGAACAAACCTTTTGAGATCATGTGCGATGCTAGTGATTGGGCGGTAGGTGCAGTACTAGGACAAAGAAAGGACAAAGTGTTTCATTCAATCTGTTACGCAAGTAAGATTTTGAATGAAGCACAAATCAATTACACCACGACGGAGAAGGAGTTGTTAGCTATTGTTTTTGCATTTGAGAGATTTAGGTCCTACTTGATGGAAACAAAAGTCATTGTGCATACCGACCACTCGGCCATCAAATACCTAATCTCAAAGAAAGATGCAAAACCTAGGCTAATAAGATGGGTGCTTTTGTTACAAGAGTTTGACTTAGAGATTCTGGATAGAAAGGGGGTAGTGAATCAGGTTGCAGACCATTTGTCTAGGTTGGAAGAACCCGAGAGAAGAGGAATAGACATTAATGACACTTTTCCCGATGAAAGAATCCTCGTGATT